TCCCTTCAGACACAATCTGTAACTCTTAGCCTCTCCCTTCACACACAGTCTGTAACACACAAGCTCTCCTTTCACACACAGTCTGTAACTCTTAGCCTCTCCCTTCACACACAGTCTGTAACACACAAGCTCTCCTTTCACACACAGTCTGTAACTCTTAGCATCTCCCTTCACACACAGTCTGTAACACACAAGCTCTCCCTTCACACACAGTCTGTAACTCTTAGCCTCTCCCTTCACACGGTCTGTAACACACAACACACACAGCTCTCCCTTCACACACAGTCTGTAACTCTTAGCTCTCCTTCACACAGTCTGTAATTCTTAGCCCTTCACTCACCTTCACACAGTCTCCCTTCACACACATGTAAGCTCTCCCTTCACACACAGTCTGTAACACACAAGCTCTCCCTTCACACAGTCTGTAACTCTTAGCATCTCCCTTCACACACAGTCTGTAAACACAAAAGCTCTCCTTCACACACAGTCTGTAACTCTTAGCATCTCCCCTTCACACAGTCTGTAACACAAAGCTCTGAATTCACACACACATCTCTGTAACCTTAGCTCTCTCCCTTCACACACAGTCTGTAACACACAAGCTCTCCCTTCACACACAGTCTGTAACTCTTAGCCTCTCCCTTAACACACAGTCTGTAACACACAAGCTCTCCCTTCACACACAGTCTGTAACTCTTAGCCTCTCCCTTCACACAGTCTGTAACAGCACTCAAGCTCTCCTTCACACACACACAAGCTCTCCCTTCACACACAGTCTGTAACTCTTAGCCTCTCCCTTTCACACACAGCCTGTAACACACAAGCTTCACACACTCTGTAATTCACACACAGTCTGTAACACACACACACAGCTCTCCCTTCACACACAGTAACTCTTAGCTTCACACAGTGTAACACACAAGCTCTCCCTTCACATTCACACACAGTCTGTAACACAAAAGCTCTGAATTCACACACAGTCTGTAACACACAAGCTCTCTCAGACTGTAACTCTTAGCATCTCCCTTCAGACACACACGCACAAGCTCTCAATTCACACACTTCACACACACAGAGCCTGTAACACACAAGCTCTCAATTCACACACAGTCTGTAACACACAGGCTCTCCCTTCACACAGAGCCTGTAACACACAAGCTCTCAATTCACACACAGTCTGTAACACACAAGCTCTCCCTTCACACACAGTCTGTAGCACACAGGCTCTCCCTTCACACACAGTCTGTAACACACAGGCTCTCCCTTCACACACAGCGTGTAACACACAAGCTCTCAATTCACAGACAGTCTGTACCACACAGGCTCTCCCCTTCACACAGTGTGTAACTCTTAGCCTCCCCCTTCACACACAGCCTGTAAGCTCGCCCGACAGAGACAGCGTGTAACACACAGGCTCTACCTTCACACACAGTCTGTAACACACAGGATCGCCCTTCATAGACAGTCTGTAACTCTTACCCTCTCCCTTCACACACATACTTTCTCTGTGTCACCCTTCGTCTCTCGATCACTGTTCACTGAAGCTGTGATGCTATATGTTCGTCTTCACTGTTCACTGAAGCTGTGATGCTATATTTTCGCCTTCACTGTTCACTAAAGCTGTGAAGCTATATTTTCGCCTTCATTGTTCACTGAAGCTGTGATGCTATATTTTCGCCTTCATTGTTCACTGAAGCTGTGATGCTATATTTTCGCCTTCATTGTTCACTGAAGCTGTGATGCTATATTTTCGCCTTCATTGTTCACTGAAGCTGTGATGCTATATTTACGCCTTCATTGTTCACTGAAGCTGTGATGCTATATTTAAGCCTTCATCGTTAACTGAAGCTGTGATGCTATATTTTCGCCTTCACTGTTCACTGAAGCTGTGATGCTATATTTTCGTCTTCACTGTTCACTGAAGCTGTGATGCTATATTTTCGCCTTCACTGATCACTGAAGCTGTGATGCTATATTTTCGCCTTCACTGTTCACTGAAGCTGTGATGCTATATTTTCGTCTTCACTGTTCACTGAAGCTGTGATGCTATATGTTCGCCTTCACTGTTCACTGAAGCTGTGATGCTATATTTTCGCCTTCACTGTTCAATTTGTGACGAAGGAACGTCTCTGTGTGGCACATTCTTTCTTACTCTCGTTATCTCTTTTATTGCTTTTTGTAGTCTAATTACACAAACACACATGCAGCTCACGGCCTCCAAGTCGATTTTCTTCAACTTGCAATGTAAGAAAACAAAGCAAATCTGGAGACTATAAGATGCAGGATACAATATCCCCTAATGTAGTCAAATCAAAGTCATATATATCCACAATTTATAAGCGAGCTTGGCATGTCAGTGGAGACAAGAAGGATCAGGTGGTCACGCTGCCTTACGGGGTTGATGCATGTCATTGTATCCCAGTTGTGTAGTTCGATGCTCATTAGGTCAATCACTGGATTGTCTCGTCTAGGGTTGATTACTCATAGACCGCCGACAAATAGATGGAACGTTGGTTAGTATGGCATTAAATAAACAAAACACAAACAAACAAACAAACACGAACTGAGCAATGACGATGTTTATTACATAATGGCTTCTTCTCTACATGTACTTGTTCCCTAACATCATACCCTAATAAATAATAATAATTGATTTGTGTAGCGCCTTCCTTCCAACTTTTGCTGCTCACTGGCGCTTAAAAGTTTCTGAACTGGGCTTCACACATTGTACCCATTTAGGGAATCGAACCCGGGTCTTCGCCGTGACAAGCGAACGCTTTAACCACTAGGCTACCCCACTACCCTTCCATAGACGTGAACGACAGACAAACATGCAGAGGTGAGTGACGACACGTGAACTCCACATGATACCACATAGCATTCAGTGAAGAAAAATACTGTGATTACACCTTTAAATGGAATTTACGCGTTGTAGCAATGCTGAGCGCATATCGCTCAGCTGACATGTTTCCATCCGAACTAACAAAAATCGATAAGGTATACAAACAACTATTTCAATTGCTCGCGGATTTGATCCATGACCTCTTTTCAGATACGTTAAAAAGTAACTTCCTGCGTTCATTTCTCCGGGTACGTCATGCTAACGCCAAAGATTATTGTTTTACATGAGGTAAAACAACCACGCATGCTTTTATCAGAGGTAGGCAAACAGACTGATCGACATGCCGGACTAGTCACCATGACGACCAACATGTTATTAGGCAACTATTGATCTTGTGTCCACTTTAGCTACTAATTAGATATCATTTCAATTTCCAAGTATTCACATGCATAACGGTGAATATCTGTTTCCCAGAAGATCAATAACGCAGCACATGACGATGGCTACCTAAATACCACATGTACTCATCCACCGACTCGTGTTGGTTCTTATAGCCTTGTGGAGGCCCCACGATTTGGTATTACGTGGGTGGGGCAGGGTATATGTGGGCGTGGCGCCGTGTGTGCTTGTGTGCGTTCGTGTGTGAGAGAGAGTGAGTGAGTGAAGAGTTTGAGGGTGATTGCAGGTGTGAGCGTGTGTGTGTGTTTGTGAGAGAGAGAGAGAGAGAGAGAGAGAGAGAGAGAGAGAGAGAGAGAGAGAGAGAGAGAGAGAGAGAGAGAGAGAGAGAGAGAGAGAGAGAGAGAGGTGAGTGTGTGTGTTTATGTATGTGTGAGGGCGTAAGTGACATGGTGCGGGTAGAGGTGTAAAGGTTAGGGTGAGGATGTGTGCAAGGGGTAGTGTGGGGATAATGGACTGAAGCGTTTCATTTGTAAATGAAATATGTAGAGAAACAAAATTGAGTTTGTCAGTGAAAACGTTGTCACGGTATTGCCACCAACTGTTTCAGGTACGTATTGTCGTATACCTCTGGATCCGTGTGTGAAAAAAATATCGTCTTTCAACAGGAACTATTTCAGCACAAAGAAGAAATCGTGATAATGTTCAAAACCTCAAAACGTTTTTTTCACAAATATTTGCATGTCGTAACAGTTTATCGACGACATGACGCAAGGGAAATTGTTAACGGCGACAAACAAACGCTCATTCCAATAGCCCTTTCAAGTCACAGTATTATGTTACCTAGTGATTATCTGTAGTTGTCAATGTTGCCGTTGATAAATAGTCCGTCTCACAGTTCCTGAACCTTCCGTCCAGCCTCTCTGTAATACAAAATCCCTTCATGAAGCGATTTTCTTCTTTGAGTGGCATGTAAGAAGTCGTGAAGTACAATACTGACAAATTTATGGATAAACTATTTTATTTTGTGAGAGCGTCGTTTCGATAGAGGTTAATTCCTGCTTGACAACGGTACAAGATTCTAAATAAATTATGTCAGTAAAGTCAAGATTTCACTTTGGTTTAAGTTCTGAATACCCCCTCTCACTGGGCTTCCTTCCAGTGTAGACCCGTAAAGATCACGGTTAGAATTGGTGTTTAGCAACCCATGCTAGTCGTAAGAGGCGACTTCCGGGATCGTGTGGTAAGACTGGCTGACTTGATTGACACATGTCATCGCATCCCAACTGCGTAGATTGTCTGGTCCAGATTTTATTATTTACAGACCGCCGACATATAACTGGAATATTGCTGAGTGCAGCGTTAAACAACCAACCAACCAACCTTCCATTATAAATAGAGATATGTGTTTCCCAGACTTAGCGTAAGTCTAGTAGACAAGTTGCACGTATGTTGGTATTCGACGAATAGGGGAATTTCCAGGAAGCAGCGTTGAACACACAAAGGGAAAATACGTCATCTGGGTTATACAGCTGCGCAGCATGCATGCAATGTACACCGTGTGAGACAGACCTCATGCACAGTTGAGCCATGTTGACATAGCTGACAACGCCTAGTTTGATAAGCTTACAAGGTTAAACCAGGGATTATTCAGTTCTGTTTAGGCTGAGCTTGGAAAATAGTGAACTATTTGACACGCGGTGTCACTTTACGATCGATTTCCTTGGCGCATAAAACGTAACCAGGTTAGTATGTAGTTTGTTGACATAACCCTGTCCCAGAGATCGATAACACCTGGTGATGGTGCACATGTCGTGCAGTAATATTGTGTCATCTTCATTCAGTAGGTGAAATGCATGACCTGTCAACATGCAGGTACACGAAACGATTGATTCCGGAGGGCTGGGTCTTACCTAACACCTGTAAGAAAACACCATTGTGACCTATGAGGAAATTACGTGACGCATACTGTTAGATAAGGGAATGACACAGGTTGTATTCAGTGAGTGACACTCTTAGCCACCGCGCACCCTCCAGCGTACATCATTTATTCAGTAGTGTCCATAGTACTGGACGACAAGCACCCGGGGGGAATTTCTGTGCGTGTTTACACAAAGAGTTTTCTTATATTCAGTTAGCACAATGTGCTGTTCAAAGAATCGGCTCAATTCCTAGGAATTCTGTTCAAGTGGAGGAGATAAGCACAACAGGGAGTGAGATACCGAAGTGCTGCCATGCCCCACTGGGAGACCAAGGGCAGGCTCTACCGTTCCGGTGTGGGGGTGATGGTTCTCGGGTTCCTGGGATATACCGTAGCTTTTGGAGTGCCTGCGTGGAGACGTGATGGTGACACGACTGTCCTGTCCTCTGGGCTGTGGCAGTACATGTGTGACGGTCTTCACAACTGCCAGACATACTCTGCTGTAGAAACAGACAGTAAGTACATGAACTAATCATAGGTATTCAGTATTATTCAAATGTTCATTAAATATCAACCCGTGAAGATCCGGGTTCGAATTGATCTTCGGTAACCCATGCTTGTCGTAAGAGGCGACTGACGGGATCGGGTGGTCAGGCTCGCTGACTTGGTTGACACATGTCATCAACAGATACAGCACCAATTGCGTAGATCGATTCATGGTGTTGATCACGGGATTGTCTGGTCCAGACTCGATCATTTACAGACCGCTGCCATATAGCTGGAATATTGCTGAGTGCAGCGTTAACCATCCAGCAAACCAGACAACTAAATCATTAAAAATCGCACCTTAATGAAAATGCTGATAGTCATAAAATACTAATTTCATGTTTTGTCTCATACTCCAGCATGTTGCCTGTTGTGTGACACTGTTTGATGTCACCATAGTATCACCCCTATCATTTCTGTTTAAGATTAAATATTTATAAGGTTCATAATTTCCCAGATGATTTCGTAAATGTTAATTATACCCACAACACTAGAGAATAACCAGTCTTGACTTTATGACGAAACAGATTTCATTTCATGTAAAACGCACCCGTGAAGATCCGGGTTAGAATTGATCTTCAGTAACCCATGCTTGTCGAAAGAGGCGACTGACGGGATCGGGTAGTCAGGCTCGCTGGCTTGGTTGACACATGTTATCGGTTCCCCATTGCGCAGATCGTTGCTCATTCTGTTGATCACTGGATTGTCTGGTCCAGACTCGATTATTTAGAGACCGCCGCCATATAGCTGGATTATTGCTGAGTTCGGTGTAAAACTAAACTCACTCACTCACTCACCCACATAAAATGCGAAATGACTAGGACTGGTATATCGCAGTACGCTTTTCAAACGATACGTATTACAATATTTTTGTCTGAATCGGTGTATTGGGTAAAGAACATACATGACTTTTTTTGTGATTATCGTTATGGTTTAAATTTAAATCTACACAGACTTCACAACAAATGTTTTCCTTCGTTTTCAATGACAAAACGGCATACTGTAATACTATAAATTGTATACAAAAGAAAATAGAATCCCTGATGATGCAACCTAATTTTGCGATTGCTGTTATCAAAACCATAACATGTATGTGTAGGGATTATAATGTAGAAAATAGGATTAACATGTACAATTAGTGTCACTCACTGTCAAACACTGAAGTTCCCAATATATCGCAATACGTATCACAAAACGGGTACCTGAATCGCAATATATTGCAATGCAATTTATTTGCCAATACACAGCCCTAAACATAACGGAATAGGAATGGAATGGAATGGAATATAATGTATCAGTGAAGACATCAGATCTTCACCAAGAGGATACCAATCCAGAGAAACATACATTCGAAGTGTAGGGCTTTTTGGCACTTGTGTGCTTGTTGTGCATTTGTGCATAAAGAAGGGTCAATTTTCGCTCAACCAAAAGGAGGTACATTGCTGATTATCTTTCGATATCGCGTACACCTTAGGGCTAGGAGTATTCCTGTAGGCGTTTTGAATTCTTTGCTTGCAATTCTTCTGTTACCGGGTGTTCGCGAAAACTCAAACGTATTCTACTTGATCGGAGATCTCGTCACAAGCACATGCAAGGGCAAGGCAATTGTCAACAAAATTCTAACTTACACTATACGGGGAAAATAGCAACTTTAAAACTGAAGATGGTAGAAGGTTTGACTGTGATACGCGACTAATATTTTTGACGTTTTTATGGACTTAACCTTATGGGTGACAATAAGGATAATGTGTCGGAGACATGTTTCGACTCTTCCTTTTGCTTGCAGTAGGGGATGCTGGATAACACAAGCTATTTGTTTACATTAGAGCCAGATATATACGTGATTAAATTATGCTTATGATGACGCTGGTTCTTGGCGCGGCACGAACAGGTACACGAGTATGATAGTGTTAATAGAAAACATGGCGTAGACAAGCTTACTCAACTAGCGTATGACATCCTGCAGCATTTCTTTCTTGGTAGCAATAAGTCTAGAAATAGACTACAATGGACAATTGAAACATGTGAAATTGAAAGGTAGGAGTACGACTTTCAATCATTTTACTCGCAAAAACATTACATTATAAAGCGTTTAATCTCTCTAAACGTGTCATCTTCAACACGTAACAGGAAACGCGATAGTCAAAATATTTTTAGATAAACGTCGAATGCACACTGCGTCAGAGAAGCCAGTTGAAACAATAGTACGTTGCGATTAACATCGATATGCAACTCTGTACAATCAAGTGTGTGTGTGTTGGGGGGGGAGAGAAAGGGGTGGTGGTGGTGGTATGTGTGTGTGTGTGTGTGTGTGTGTGTGTGTGTGTGTGTGTGTGTGTGTGTGTGTGTGTGTGTGTGTGTGTGTGTGTGTGTGTGTGTGTGTGTGTGTGTGTGTGTGTGTGAGAGAGAGAGAGAGATTTATTATAATGACACATGCACACCCCGACAAGTCAAGTGAGCTGCATCAGTGCAGTACTAGGATGCTCCAGGGCTGGTAGGTTGAGAATGACTTCAAGGAATGTTTTTATAACTATTGTTTCTGAAACGACTGAGCAAAATATAGAATAGTGAAGAAATATTAAACCTGTTTTGTTTAAGGGTAATATTATTTTTTATCACATAGGGAGTAAATTTCCACAACGTCGGGGAAAATTGGGACAAAACCCTTTTTTCATTAAAAATTCAGGAGATGGAAAACACATACAGTCTTGAATTTAGAATTATTTTAACACTCGCATTACATCTTGAAATGAGAGTGTAAATTGCTTACATTATAAACTTTTTATTTATATTTTTGTCTTGTTACCCAACGGTGCCAGAGCTACATTACTTCGGGTTTTCCTACCACATTAAGCTGACACCCGTGATATAACTGGAATACTGTTCAAAACGACTTTAAACACAATACACTCACGACGAAGTCCACACGTTTATATCCTCATGGCATAATTATGTAAACTCAAGACACTTCCTTTTTAATTCACCTGGAACGAATCCTTGCATTGTCTACTTTCCTCTGTGCAAGGAAAGACCCACCTTGACCCAGTACTATGACTAAAGTGATATTCATCTCCTGTCAATCACGTAATTAATGTATCACTTAGAGGAAAACACGCCGTATTATCAGAGCAATAAATCACATTGTAAAGTGAGTACTTGTGCAGCGTCAACATGGACTTTGTTCTTACCGTATGGACCCAAATATAAACTTCGGGCCGATCAGTAGAGGGTCTTAACATTAGGTATGACAATCTGTAGTAGTCCGAAATGCATTATTTTCTGATGTGAGCAAGTGTGGAAGTTATTATATTTAGACGCATATACGGGCCACGATTGGTGAAACTTTGTGTAACAGCATAGATTAGTGCAGCGGTATGGGCATTTCTGGAAGGGGCAAGAGCTTGAATCTATCATCTCACTTTACATCAAGGCCGGCAGCTGTGTGAAGATCGTTCTTCATGTCACAAGTTAGTTTTTCACCTGAGAATACAGTGGAACATATGGTACAAGCTGAAATTGGGTAAAGCATCTAATTTGAGCGGCATTTTAGAAGTTGGGAAGTACAATATTTACAAATGTTATGGATAGCAACTTCTATATTTCGTGAGTGTGCCGTTTCGTGGACCTTGTATCTCATTCCTGCTAGAATCTGTCTCGAAACGTCGCAGTCACCAAAATATAGAAGGTGTTATCCATAAAGTTTGTCTATATTTTAAGGTATAGCATCGTAAATCAGTTTCGTCACTCATAAGGACATGTGCTCCATATGACCACCTTATGTTAAGACGGCCTTTTTAAGACCTTGAAAGTTGTGACGTTGATCTTTCGAGCTGGTGACTCTTGGTAGAAAAAGCAGCCTCGCTTCTATCTGTGAAATATAGACACTAATGCCTTAACTTACTGAAACACTGCTCGACTGGAACGATAACGTTTGGGAAATAGTAATAGTAATAGTCCGCTAATATGGCGCTCATATCCTGGCACATTGCCTGCTCACGGCGCTACGTACATTACTATCCCCGGTCATAGGACACTATCGTACTTTCCGATATTTTTTTCAACTCCCTGCGTAACATACAGCCATGCTGTGTTTATCCCCTGGTGACATATACTGGTATAGGAGACTGCAGGTAGCGCTTATTACTGACAATACGACCTAGCGACAGCAAGGCAATTACAGCCGGCTACCACGCAACAAGCCTTGGCTGACCAGGTAAACCACACCTGCTGCGATAAGGACGCAGTAGTTGGTCTTTCCCGTGGCGTTTGAAATGTTTTCCCATTGAATTCCCTTTAAGATAATTTAATGCACTAAGTCTGACTCACGGCATTTCTTTAACGGAGTTGTGGGTTAATCTCGTGTTTAGGCCATGTATAAAAATATTCCTGTTTCTCATTACCAGCTGACTAAAAAATTCGACCCGACCCTAAGATTGTTTAATTTTTTACACTAGAGAAAATGCAACTTTGACTCTCAAAATGTGCATGAATTTTTCCACAGAAATCAATGTGTTTTGGACATAAAATAAATAAAATGTAAACATATAATCCGCCCGCCCGCCCCATATTTGTTTTAAAAAGTGACGAGAAGCACGAATATTGTTTATGTGGTCTTAGAGCGTTAGCTCGGGTACAACGTGAGAAGCCCATTTCTGGTGTCCGCCGCCTTGATATTGCTGGAATATTGCTGGACACTAAAATTGTCATTTTTACTATATAAGAAAACCCAGGCAATCAGCGCGTCGAGCGACACGCTTCAGCCAGGCAACCACATCGTCTTGTATATTACTTTCTGAGCAGCGGAACACTGAACGTATACCTTAAACCATTCTTCTCTTCCAGCGTTGTTCCAGGTATCCCGAGTGCTGGCGTGCATCGCACTGGCTCTCTGTTTCATCGCCCTGTGTCTTATCTTCCTCCATAACTGCACGGCCTACTCGAAAAGTCTTCAGTCAGAAAATGCCTTCATCTCCATATTCCCTGTGTTTTGTGGTATGATTCTTTTACATTGTCCCCAGCTCGGAAGAATGCAACACATGTCAGCCTGACCTAGCTCACACATGTCCACTATCTATCAATAATCATATAAATGGTTTAAGAAAAGGATAACAAAACCTCTCAAGACAGGGATTTTCAGATAATAGGATGATATATTTGACTAAATTTCTCTTTACAGATGCCTGCGGTTAATATTGACATTAGACTATGCTATTCGTGAAATCACGAGTTGGTTCAAATCGGTTAATACAAAGCTACTTCCGCATGGGAACGCAACCTAGTAACACAGACATCTGAAAACAAGCAACTTGTGCTCCATAATATGAAATCTAATCCTAGTATTCGGTGAAAATAATGCCAGCTTCTACATCATGCCGTGTTCACATTATGGAAGCTGCCATCCATAAATTCTCCCCTTTATGCATATCAGTTCTTAATGCCAGTCAAAGACTTTAAAACATTCGTGTTCTTATAGTGTTGACCTCGACGGTGTGTATCGCTGATCATGCTACCAAACACAGATGCACCGTAGTTGATGTAGATGTCACCGTAATTGACTACGTCTAGGGACTGCATTTCCTCCTTTTGAACTATTTGTGATAGGGATACGGATATGAACAACTGTTAGTTTTCGGCGCGGTTAATTAATATTTGATAATTAATTCAAATAGTAAAAGGTCAGTCAAAGAGCACATGCTTAAAATCGAGCTCATAGTAGACAGGACTATGATGGTCCGTATGCATGAACTGTGTTGGCAAATAAAAGCGACATAATCTTTCCCATGATCATACCTAATCTCTGCGGAAAGCTGAATCTATGGCACGGTTCTGACTATATCACATTCATGAGTTTATTTTATAATACTCCTGTTTTCAAGTTGGTTTTATTGTTTGCAGAGAGTTTTCATTTCAAAGTGTGTAAGGCTTACACTCGTATTGCACGTTAACATGAGGCTTCTAGCCAGTCAAGTTACCAGCTTATAGGCAACTAAGTAAGATTTTGCAATTAAATACTTTCCATTCTATGTTCATATTAATACACGTGGCAGATGTTCCTTGCAATACATTTCAATTGGTGTCAAGATGTAAACCTCATTATAGATAAGACCCGTGAAGATCCGGGTTAGAATTGATGGTAAGAGACGACTAACGGGATCGGGTGGTAAGGCTCACCCCAGTTGCGTAGATCGATGCTCATGCTATTGATCACTGGATTGTCTCGCTTACGTAGTTGACAGATGTCTTCTACAGTTTCAACACCAATAGCGTAGAATCGATGCTCATGGTGTTGATCACTGGATTGTCTGGTCCAGACTCGATTACTTACAGACCGCCGCCATATAGCTGGAATATTGCTGAGTGCGGCGTTAAACTTAAACTCACTCACTCATTATTGATGAATGACAACACAAACTATTCTGATGAATTGTTAACTGTTTTATCTGATGTGTAGTAGCAATATCAGTATCATCAGCATTAACTGATTCGAAAATATTAACACGTCAACACCAGGGAATAACCAGTCTCGATTATCCTCCGGAACACATTCAATGAGAGTATAAGGCAAAACAGCGATGGTAATTATGCTAAAAAATCAATGATGACACCAGGTGTTCGCGAAAACTACCAAGAAAGTCCTAACATTATCACATCTTCATAAGATGAAAAACACCATGCCGTTCCATACAATCAGTAGATGATACGTTGACATGTTTCTAATAGGTTTATTTTCAATTCCAGGCCTTCTCGCCATGTCTTCATGTGTGGTTTACCTTGAACAAGGCATAAGTTCCATCTATTGGGGAGCCGTATTAGGATTTGCCGCCAGTGGTTGTACCATATTTGGAGGCATCTGCATGGGCGTAGGGTTGCACATTGACAGGCTTAAAGCGGCGAGCACTCAACAAACGTCAAGTACAGTCCAGAACCAGACTGCTTTCAACCAAGACATTACGACAATGGCAATTCCAGTGAACGTCATTCCCTCAAATGGGGCTCAGACAAATATGCCAATGGTTTCAATGGCCTCGAATACAAACACAGACTGTACCGGATCCTCGGATCAACAGCTTGCAACACAAGTCGATCAACAAGCGAGACTAAATCCATCTGCACCACCGCCCGACCCTGACTTCTTATACTACTGAATACTTTGCAAGGAGTATCAATACGGAGATTGGACTTCGTAATCAGATACTTATTGTTGAAAAGTGACAGATTGCTACATATCAAAGAGATCTAGCGTATATCTGGATTAAAGTGATCATTGTGTGTTCTACCAGTGTCTAGTGTGCACTGTTGGTTTCTTGGGAACATGACATTTAATCATCCTCAGAGAAGGATATAGATACAGCGCTTGCTGCAGTGTGTATTGACTTCAAGGTGCTTGGACTTTTGTAACATCTACATAAGTTGGATGAACAAGATACACTAATTCCTGATCCAGACATATTTTTAACGCATCGAATGATTGAAATGTGTGTGGATTGAGTGCTCGTCCTTTTTCGGTTTTTAGTGTCGGTGAGTTTTAGCTTTGTTAGAAGAACTTGACATCGTTTTGAAGAAACAAATGCAACCATTCCTTAGCAGGGTACATTAAATACCAACCCCGACCCATGCTGGTCACAAACAGATATAGGCGTCAATCAATTAACCCACAGTGGAATCCCAAGAGATGTTCCAAGAGATTGTCGACCACGTCATTGGTCTAACGGACTGAGTGCCTGCTTGGTACTCGTGCGGTCGGTGGTTCGATTCTTAGCCACTTCATACAAACAGAAAGATGTTAAAATATGGTACTTGGTGTTTACCTGCCTGACGCTTGACACTAAGGGCTATAAAGGGGTGTAAAACAATGGCTTTAAGTGTGATACATCGTCTCATTTGGCGAGCACTGTAAAATCGGTCAAAAACTCGAGCGCGTGCACGCCGCTTTTAAGCGCAACTATGTTGGAGGCGTTGTTAAACCAAGTTGTTTCTGAGTTGACTTCGATACACGACGGCTTTGCTTGGCAAAAAGATCACACATGGATAGCATTTATAAATCTTATTTGGCAACTGTGATGGGTCGCAAATTCATGTTATGAGTAGTACTGTGCTATCTTATCCAGGTTAGTCTAGATACCGAAGGCCATCATTTCCTTGCATATATTCATGTTTTTGGTATGTCTATTGTTTGCTGTTTGAAGCGATCAGACAATCTAGTGATTGGAACATACTGTTTCCTATAATCTTTGCCAATCGTAATGTAAATCGAGGTTACATTATCACGCTGGACTGCATTCACCACACTCTAACTACTCTCTAAGTTCAACATGCACCAGCTTGGTGTGTTACCGGTGACAGCCAAGTACACTCCAACTGGTGAATGAGGTGAGTGAGTGAGTTTAGTTTACGCCGCACTCAGCAATATTCCAGCTATATGGCGGCGGTCTGTAAATAATCAGGTTGCGGTAGATGGGAATACCGAGATGCCATTTAAAATCAAACTATAGGAACAATGAAATGGATTTGTGTGAACGTTCATTGTAGAGGTGTTGCTATCACTGCGTACGTGAAGGGAAATATTGTTGATGGTACGTCATTTGTGAAACATTGTATATACTTACAGTTGTGTACATAAAGAAAATTGTGAATACAATGATTCATTCCACATGATTTGTTTCCTGTCGTTTATACTTCATACTCCAATCAATACTGTCACTTCCATTGCGCCAACTGTTACTCATGTTGTTCCAATTGTAAGTACTTTTGCTCCAGCTGTTACTGCTCCAACTGTAACCATATACTGTTTCTCCAGCTGTTACAGCTATTGCACCAACTGTAACGATATACTATTTCTCCAGCTGTTACAACTATTTCCCCAGCTGTTGCATTGCTCCAACTGTAACCATATACTATTTCTCCAGCTGTTACAGCTATTGCTCCAACTGTAACCATATACTATTTCTCCAGCTGTTACAGCTATTGCTCCAACTGTAACCATATACTATTTCTCCAGCTGTTACAGCTATTGCTCCAACTGTAACCATATACTATTTCTCCAGCTGTTAGTGCTACTGCTCCAACTGTAACCATATACTATTTCTCCAGCTGTTACTGCTACTGCTCCAACTGTTACTAATGTCTCTTTTGCTATCGATACTTTCTCTCCTATAGTTACTACCGTTGCCCAAACTTCAACTGTTCCAACTGTTTCTCCTACTGTTACTACCATTGCTCTAACTGTTACCACTATCTCTCCTTCCGTTACTACTATTGTTACCCAACTGTTACTGCTGTTTCTCTTGCCATTACTATCATTGCTCTAACTGTTACCACTATCTCTCCTTCCGTTACTACTATTGTTACCCAACTGTTACTGCTGTTTCTCTTACCGTTACTATTATTGCTCCAACTGTTACCACTATCTCTCCTTCCGTTACTACTATTGTTACCCAACTGTTACTGCTGTTTCTCTTGCCGTTACTATCATTGTTCCAACTGTTACCACTATTTCTCCTTCTGTTACTACTATTGTTACCCAACTGCTCTAACTGTTTCTCCTTCCGTTACTATCATTGCTCCAACTGTTACCACTATTTCTCGTTCCGTTACTACTATTGTTACCCAACTGTCACTGCTGTTTCTCTTGCCGTTACTATCATTGCTCCAACTGTTACCACTATCTCTCCTCCCGTTCCTACTATTGTTACCCAGCTGTTACTTCTGTTTCTCCTTCCGTTACTATTATTGCTCCAACTGTTACCACTATCTCTCCTCCCGTTACTACTATTGTTACCCAACTGCTCCAACTGTTTGTCCTTCCGTTACTATCATTGCTCCAACTGTTACCACTATTTCTCCTCCCGTTACTACTATTGTTACCCAGCTGTTACTGCTGTTTCTCTTACCGTTACTATTATTGCTCCAACTGTTACCACTATCTCTCCTTCCGTTACTACTATTGTTACCCAACTGTTACTGCTGTTTCTCTTGCCGTTACTATCATTGCTCAGACTGTTACCACTATTTCTCCTTCCGTTACTACTATTGTTACCCAACTGTTACTGCTGTTTCTCTGGCCGTTACTATCATTGCTCCAACTGTTACCACTATCTCTCCTCCCGTTACTACTATTGTTACCCAACTGTTCCTGCTGTTTCTCTTTCCGTTACTATCATTGTTCAGACTGTTACCACTATTTCTCTCTTCCGTTACTACTTATTGTTATCTAACTGTTACTGCTGTTTCTCCTGGCCGTTACTACTATTCCTCATAACTGTTACCCACTTTCTTCTCCTTCCGTTACTCGTTACAATTTTTGCTCCAACTGCTAACAACTATTTTCTTCCGTTACTACTATTGTTACCAACTACACTGCTTTTTCTCTTGCCGTTACTATCATTGCTCAGACTGTTACCACTATTTCTCCTTCCGTTATTACTATTGTTACCCAACTGTTACTGCTGTTTCTCTTGCCGTTACTATCATTGCTCCAACTGTTACCACTATTTCTCCTCCCGTTACTACTATTGTTACCCAACTGTTACTGCTGTTTCTCTTGCCGTTACTATCATTGCTCAGACTGTTACCACTATTTCTCCTTCCGTTACTACTATTGTTACCCAACTGTTACTGCTGTTTCTCTGGCCGTTACTTATTATTGCTCCAACTGTTACCACTATTTCTCCTCCTGTTACTACTATTGTTACTCAACTGTTACCGTTGTTTTTCTCTTGCTGTTACTTATCATTGCTCAGACTGTTACCACTATTTCTCCTTCCGTTACTACTACTATTGTTACCCAACTGCTTGTTGCTGTTTCTCTGTGTTTCACTTATTAGTTGCTGCTCCAACTGTTAGCTTGCTTCACTATCTACTCCTTGTTACTACACTATCTTTTACCGTTAACTATTAAGCTTCAACTGTTCTCTTCCGTTATCCGCTTCTTACTATTGTTACCCAACTGTTAGCCATTCTTTGTTACTATCATTGTTCAGACTGTTACCACTATTTCTCCTTCCTGTTACTACTTATTGTTACCCAACCTGTTACAGCTGTTTCTCTTGCTGTTACTTCATTGTCTTAACTGTTACCACTATTTCTCCTCCCGTTACTACTATTGTTACCCAGCTGTTACTGCTGTTTCTCTTACCGTTACTATTATTGCTCCAACTGTTACCACTATCTCTCCTTCCGTTACTACTATTGTTACCCAACTGCTCCAACTGTTTCTCCTTCCGTTACTATTATTGCTCCAACTGTTACCACTATCTCTCCTTCCGTTACTACTATTGTTACCCAACTGCTCCAACTGTTTCTCCTTCCGTTACTATTATTGCTCCAACTGTTACCACTATTTCTCCTCCCGTTACTACTATTGTTACCCAACTGTTACTGCTGTTTCTCTCTACTGTTACTTATTATTGTCTTAACTGTTACCTTCTCTATCTCTCCTTCCGTTACTACTATTGTTACCCAACTGCTCCAACTGTTTCTCTTTCCGTTACTACCATTGCTCCAACTGTTACCACTGTCTCTCCTCCCGTTACTACTATTGTTACCCAACCGATTCTGCTGTTTCTCTTCCGTTACTACTATTGTTACCCAACTGTTACTGCTTTTTCTCTTGCCGTTACTATCATTGCTCAGACTGTTACCACTATTTCTCCTCCCGTTACTACTATTGTTACCCAACTGTTACTGCTGTTTCTCTTGCCGTTACTATCATTGCTCCAACTGTTACCACTATTTCTCCTCCCGTTACTACTATTGTTACCCAACTGCTCCAACTGTTTCTCTTACCGTTACTATTATTGCTCCAACTGTTACCACTATCTCTCCTTCCGTTACTACTATTGTTACCCAACTGCTCCAACTGTTTCTCTTGCCGTTACTACCTTTGTCTCCAACTGTTACCACTGTCTCTCCTCCCGTTACTACTATTGTTACCCAACTGATACTGCTGTTTCTCTTACCGTTACTACCATTACTTCAACTGTTACCACTATCTCTCCTCCCGTTACTACTTTTGTTACCCAACTGCTCCAACTGTTTCTCCTTCCGTTACTATCATTGCTCTAAGTGTTACCACTGTCTCTCCTCCCGTTACTACTATTGTTACCCAACTGTTACTGCTGTCTCTCCTCCCGTTACTACTATTGTTACCCAACTGCTCCAACTGTTTCTCTTGCTGTTACTACCATTGCTCCAACTGTTACCACTATCTCTCCTTCCGTTATTACTATTGTTACCCAACTGATACTTCTGTTTCTCCTACTGTTACTATTTGCGTATTGATGTACCCTCATTTGACCTGGGATATTCAACAAATATTGAGGTCTATTTTCACATGTTGTGTTTACAAACATCTAAGTCAATATTTTTACTACAATGGTATATGTAAATTACACATCATTATATCGCATCTGAACATGTAAAATGAGTGGCCATATGGTAGACAAATAATTACCCAAAGCTGCAGCAGCCAGATAGGGCAACCGTAGAACATCTAACGGTTATTATTAACTGCATACAGTTATCATGGAGTCTGTATATAGATGTCCTGATGATATGGACAACTGACCTAGTGGATACTGCATACAATTAACTTTGAGTGAGTGAGTATGGTTTTACTACGCTTTTAGCAATATTCCAGCAATATCCCGGCTTGGGATACCAGAAAGGGGCTTCACACCAAACTCACTCACACATATAAAAAGTAAGGCAAACTCTGATGATGATCCAGCGCTGCTGCGATTGAAAATAATATCTCTTACAGCGACTGGTATTACTGTCAGTGTGGAACGTCAGTCAAGATGGCAAATTCAACCATACGATTGATGCAGTGGTGACATCTTGAGATTGTGATTATTCCGAAAGTAGAGCCCGGTAAAGGTTATGAATATTTATCAACCCTGGGAAAGAAATATTGATACTCGTTATGTAGGGGGTAGATATAAATCCCGCCGAATCAATAGGTCAAGCTGAAGGTCGAGGACTTTAAATAGGAATGTCAAGGTTAGGGTTAACGTACGCGACACGTGATACCTGATTAGTTACAGGTTCACAGGGACCCTCATCTTCCATTGTGTTATGTCATTACTTGTATGTCAACAGTTTTGTCCGGTGCTTTATAATGTGTACATTAAACGGAAACAAACAATTACATAGAAATAAATTATTTGTTTGTTTTTGATTATCCAGCTGTTATTTTCGGGATTGTTATTCCTAGGTGATATGGGCGTATTGACACAAGCCAGTTAGTTTCTGTATCCAGGTGACAATTAAATTGCACTGTACGAAAAAACAAGATACGTTAGCCATGTGCACGTTATGTAACCTGCATGCCAAATCATGAGATTATCAGCCTTTAACAACCACTAAGATGACACTCATTACGGCCTAGTGTCAGTATGTCAACATCGAGGCTTCTGGCAGAGGTTTACATTACGATTCCAACAATAATATTTATTTATAGTGATAAATACCAAACATAATTTTTCATAACGTCTTTTAGGATAGTGGGACTTTAATTTACTGACCTCGTTTTGACCGTTTTCACTATTTGACTCGCGCAATGACGCATGTAAGGATAATCGATAAACAAGACTGCATCAGTGCCAGTTGTTGCAATGTAGTTGCATTTTCACTTTCAATGATATCTTTACGCAAGAGAGCTTATACCCTATGTAGACAATTCCGAAATGCCACACTGGCGAGAAAAGTGCCACACGTACCATCTTGGGACTGTATGCACGACCCTGGGTTGTCTCGGGTATCTCATAACGTTTAGTGTACCCACGTGGAAACAGACTTACTTATACCACACCGTCGACTCCCAACAGAGGATGTACACCACGTCTGGCCTCTGGCTTCAGTGCGTCGGATGGACAAGATGCAAACCATTCGTCACGGGGGACAGTAAGTGTATGCGAGGAACCGCATCTGTCGTGTTTCAGGTTTATTTTGGACACTCGATGATGGTTCTACTGTTGAAACTAATATTTTCTATCTACACATCGACATGTACATGTTCATCCCTATTCGATACTGTCACTCGCAAACAGATCACAAGTCATTTCGTAGGTGTAATTTGGATGCCGCCATCTTGGGTTCTATTTATAGTAACGCGAGAGAAGTGGCAATTGTTCTTTTATCTGTATATCTGAAGTAATGACCAGTAACTGTATTCCACGTGAGACGTATTGTAATGTCTTGAGTAAGTTAGGATGGGCCGTCAGCTGTTATATGACAGTTCAATGGGATAGTTGATGGAAAAGCTTAGAAGTAGGCGATCATAATAAATGTGATTTCACCATAATCAATAAATGGACTATTATAAGCTGTATGTCCACGTTCCTCCTTCAGCTGAAGAGGACAAGTTTAAACTAGCTTCAAAAGACTGAGTGTACTCGTCAGGATGCAGACAGTGAATCCTTAGGCCAGAGCCTTTAGAGCTTATGATATTGATAAGATGATATAATCTTCAGAATCGTGTCCATTCCGTCAGCATTATTTCAGATCTTGGTCAAGGGTTACCAATCTTTCATATATGTTGATAACAAACCTATTCTGTATAAATGTTGGTATAACAAGGGAGTTATGTTTGTATCTGACATGTTGACAGCAGAAGGGAAATTTCTATCCTTTGATGACTTTATATATCTATATAAACTCAGAACAAATTTCCTGACCTTTGAAAGGGTCAAACAAGCAATTATTACTTATATGTTAAATGTAAATATTTCAGATTTTTCTCTGAGCATTAAACCGACATACCCTTTTAATTTGTCCAAACTAAAATTCAGTGAAAAAGGTAGAAAATATTTCTATGAAACACTCCTATGCTCTTAATTTAAAACAGAACTCTATAATAGAAACTGGGATAGCTTGAATCTAAATCTCCTACCAAAGGAGTGGGAAATATTTAATATTATCCCATGGAAGTGCACCTATAGCACTGCTCTAAGATGGTTACAATACAGAATTATCCATAATATTCTACCTACAAAACAGTTTTTGTTTAAGATCAAGTACACAGACTCTCCCATTTGCAGTTTCTGTAAATATAACATTGAATCAATTACCCATCTATTTTGGGACTGTGAAATTGTTCAAGATATCTGGAAAAACCTCCAGTCATGGCTCTTAACTGGCTTGAATATTCCGTTATATTTCACAAAACATAATGTTTTACTTGAAATTAAAGGAAAAAATAATAATCCAATTAATGCCATAATACTTGTTGTGAAGCAAGTTATCTTTAGACACAGCAGAATTCAACTGTACCCTTTATCAGTCATGTGAAAAGGGAGATAATTGATGTATTACGACATTACAAAATATGTTTATTCCTCCTCTTGTGGTGTTGACAAATTCTTCTCCTTTTGGCCATCTCTACATGCACTCTTCCAGCACTATGAGGAGAGGGATGAATAATTTTGACTATGTTACATACATACATCAATACATCAATGCATTAATACATACATTAATACATACATCAATACATTAATACATACATTAATACATACATTAATGCATTAATACATACATTAATACATACATTAATACATACACTAATACATACATTAATGCATACATTAATATATACATTAATACATTAATACATACATTAACAATACATACATTAATATATACATTAATACATACATTAATGCATACATTAATACATACATCAATACATACAACAATACATACATAATACATACATACATCCATACATACATTAATACATACATTAATACATACATTAATACATTAATACATTAATACATACATTAATACATACATTAATATATACAATAATACATACATCAATACATTAATACATACATTAATACATACATTAATATATACAATAATACATACATCAATACATTAATACATACATTAATACATACATTAATACATATACATTAATACATACATTAATACATACATAATAATACATTAATGCATTACATTACATAAATACATTAATACATTGCATATATACATACATTAATACATACATTAATACATACATTAATACATACATCAATACATTAATACATACATTAATACATACATTAATACATATACATACATTAATACATACATTAATACATACATTAATACATACATTAATACATTAATACATACATTAATACATACATTAATATACATTAATACATACATTAATACATACATACATTACATTAATACATTAATACATTAATACATTAATACATACATTAATACATACATTAATACATACATTAATGCATACATTAATATATACATTAATACATTAATACATACATTAATACATACATTAATACATACATTAATACATACATTAATGCATACATTAATACATACATTAATACATACATTAATGCATTAATACATACATGAATACATACATCAATACATCAATGTATTAATACATACATTAATACATTAATACATACATTAATACATACATTAATACATACATTAATACATACATTAATACATACATTAATACATACATTAATACATTATGCATACAATACATACATACATAATACATACATTAATGCATACATATATTAATATATACATACATACATACATTAATACATACATTAATACATACATTAATACATACATACATTAATACATTAATACATACATTAATAATACATACATTAATATATACATCAATACATTAATACATACATTAATACATATACATACATTACATACATAATACATACATCAATACATTAATACATACATTAATACATACATTACATAATACATACATTAATACATACATACAAATACATACATTAATACATATTAATACATACATAATACATACATTATACATTAATACATACATAATACATTAATACATATTAAATACATTACATACATACATTAATATATACAATTACATACATACATTAATACATACATTAATACATACATTAATACATAATAATACATACATTAATACATACATTCATACATACATACATCAATACATTAATGCATACATTAATACATACATTAATAATACATACATTAATACATACATTAATACATTAATACATACACATTAATACATACATTAATACATTAATAATACATGCATGCATTAATACATACATTAATACATACATACATTAATACATACATTAATGCATACATTAATACATACATTATAACACACACATACATTAATGCATACATATACATATGCGCACGCACGCACACTATGAAGATATGGTGTATCTGATGGGATTTGCAGACGTTTTTCTATAGAAATATCATTGATTGCTTCTGTATTCTTGTATGTCAGTACAATTGAACCTATCAATGTCATATATTGACTTCATGTACTGAACCTATAAACAAGTGAAAAAATGGTAAATAAAAAAATCACCAAAAAACATCTTTCATATGTGTGATCAGTTATCTGTCTGCCAACTGTGGGCGTGGTCAGAAATCATGTAAAAATTTCTTCGGGACAGGAGTTTCAGGAGTCCGTTATGTTCTACGCGTGAGTGTATATTTTTTCTCAAACATTATATGTGCATTCATTTCAGACACACAAGAATAAGCTATTACTGGTCAAGAGACAATCAAAGTTATGATAGTTGTGTTGCGCCATTCTGTCAGACATTCTCACGACACAAATACGCACATTAAACACACACACTCACACACGCGCGCACGCACATGCACGCACACACTCACACGCACACACTTAAACTTTCAAACAGTCACACACATTTCAGTCAGATGTCGATTGTCCTTTTTCGACAGTATTTTTCACTCGTCAATATTATATCAATTTTGGCAGTGGAAGAGAATGGAGTTCAATCCTCAGTATCAAACTAGAACCGTATGTGTCAATAATTCATTGTATTTGGTATTGACCTGACCTGTTCTGTTTTCAGCTATGTTTCAGAGTGTGAGGTTTGTGGCTATCATGGCGCTCACATTCTCCATCCTTACAGTCTACATCATCTTCCTACACAACTGTACAACATACTCTAAACGACTGCAGTCAGAAAATGCCGTCATCTCCGTCTTCCCTATTTTCCCAGGTAACATACTAATTAGTTTCTTTATAACCTCAGTATTGCAATAGTCACTCTTGAAAGCATAGGTAGCAATATGTTTGTTCCATTTATATACATGATTGTACATTCAGTTTTATATTTTTTGTTCTTTCAGGCCTTCTGTCAATAGCATCGTGTGTACTGTTTCTGGCAAGTCAAGGAACTGTCACGGCTTCGTGGGCCGTGTCTTTAACATTTATCAGTGGTGCGTTATGCATTGGCGGAGGAATGATCATGTTTCTTGGTCTCCATTTCGATAGATGCAGAGCTTCGAGAACTATCAGCGTTAACCACGGTGTAATTGAACTTCATGTGATGGCCCACCTGTCTGTATCTGGCTAACATTGGCACACATGACCAGTACCTTGGTGACCTTATTGGTCACATTACAGTACCTTGGTGACTTGATGTGGTGGCACACCTGTCAGAAACCATGCGATGTCATTTGAGGGCTCACCTTACCGGACCTTGTGACGTCATGTGGTAGCGCACCTGTCAGAAACCATGCAATGTCATTTGAGGGCTCGACTTACCGGACCTTGTGACCTCATGTGGTAGCGCACCTGTCAGAAATCATGCAATGTCACGTACCTTGTGATGTCACATTTATGAATATATGTGTAATTATCGGTGAAATCATTTCATTTTGCAACTATAGAATTAGACCCATCGTATGTTACATTAAACAGAAGGATATGCCGAACGTTACATATAAAGATATCGAATGAAGATGTATGTATGTATGTATGTATGTATGTATGTATGTATGTATGTATGTATGTATGTATGTATGTATGTATGTATGTATGTATGTATGTATGTATGTATGTATGTATGTATTATGTATATGTATGTATGTATGTATGTATGTATGTATGTATGTATGTATGTATGTATGTATGTATGTATGTATGTATGTATGTATGTATATATATGTATGTATGTATGTATGCATGCATGTATGTATGCATGCATGTATAAACTATCTGACTTTTATAAATATATCTATATTAGTCCGACCAATTTCACATCACACACCCTCGTGGACATGCATCATACAAGCATTCATTTACTTACTTTTACACGTTCATACCTTCTTTTTGTAAATCTTACATTATTAGTTATCTGTTGAAATAGAAACAAACCATGCCCTTAATTGTTTATTGTAAATACAGTTTAATATTCGAACATCTAAGCATTGGCGATGTTTGTCAGGAGCAACTAAATGAATTATATAAACCTTGTAGCTCTAAGTATGCCATCAGAGCTGTTTCTTACTGTGGTCTTTTTAACACATAGATTGAGCGTTTACATCATCAGATATCTTGAACATATTGTACCTTGGTTAGATTCCTAACAAGGGTTTTTAGCGATATATGAAGAATACTTTGTTGTACAATTTTACTTACATTGCATGACGTGTATTTTGAATACAAGGGAGTTTGAACTTGTCTGGTGTTTTTGTTGTTTTCCTCAGAAATCATTTATGAAAGTCTGCTAAGTTTGAAAATAATCCACAGTGTTTCTAATTTACGATGAAAATTTCAGTCAGGCTGCTTTAACATATCCGGTTTCGACGGTGTTGTAAAATCACAACCCACCGACTCTACAACCTTACCAATATATGACGCCCTGTTGTCACGTATATCCACACTCTCCTGGTGATTGAGATGACACCCCATCTTGGCACAAAACAGGTGACACTCATTTCCCTTTGGGTTTCTGCACAGAATGCACAGCGTTATCACAAAATTGTATGTCATCGAAAATATGTAACTACCCAGGTCGTAGTGACTGTCAGCGTCATAGTATTCAAGATCATTTAACAAATAAAGCCTCGTGTCAGAACAATATAAACCAATGATTGATAATATGAGCAATTATTAAACTGCATGTTGCTTAAATCAATGGCTTAGGAGCGGTGGGGTAGCCTAGTGGTTAAAGCGTTTGATCGTCACTCCGACGACGTGGGTTCGATTCCCCACATGGATACAATGTGTGAAACCCATTTCTGGTGTCTCCCGCCGTGATATTGTTGGAATATTGTTAAAAGCGGTGCAAACCTAAATTCACTCACTCAATAAGCAATGCCTTAAGATTGTAACGTGTATACCCAAAGTAACACATATAACCATTGACGTCATGGGAAGAGGATAACCATCCATTGATTCACGTAACGTCATCGTATCACAGTTCAATAAGGACAGAGCCATAAGGCGGAGGCTAAAGGTAGTTAAACATGGTATCAATGATACAATGCGCCATTCAAATGGAACAATTCATGACTCAGAATTATTGCCAACATATGAATCAATTAGATTATTTATGTGATTACAAATACCAATGAAATTCCAAGGACGATTTCAACACATGTGATATCGGCGTTGAATGATTAGTTATTTCAAATGTCCTTTTATGAAACTAGTAAAGAGGAAGAATTTTGTCACATTAATGCATTGATGTTAGGTTGTTTATTCAGCCGGTGAATTGAACCCATCTAGGGCCAAGCTTGCGAGTGTTATTACAGTATGGAGTGAAATATCAATACCTATATAATACATTCATGCAAACAGACACACCAGCTGTTGTCGATCCTGTACACTTACGCTAGTATTTTGAGAAGCTATTCGGACCATTCTCCATGTAGATTGAGACAGTTTAGCGATGCCTCACTGGGTAGACAAGTGCCGGACATACCGTCTAGGTGTAGTGTGCACCGTCCTGGGATTTCTCGGATATGTCCTGGCATTCAGCCTGCCCTCCTGGAGCCACGTGTTGGTATATTTTGGCGATATAGACACTGTACAGTATGATCAAGGGGAGTATGTGAATGGAGGGCTATGGCTGCACTCGTGTGAAGGGTTGTCCAACTGCCAACCATTTAACGTTACACAGCAGACAGGTGAGTCGGAATGGATGATGTCACAACTACTCTGTGAATATAGCAAATGTACGTGCACTGACGTTTGAATAATGAATCAGTTGTATATTTTATCAAATATCACAGAATACTTTCATTCAATGTTTTTATTCTTGGCAAACAGTGAAGGTGTAGTATGCCTGTTTCTTCTAACAATGCGTTATGTATGGGCAATATTTTCCAACTCTTAGGGTTTTATTTCCATACTGCATATCAGCTATTAAATAGGACTGAATTGAGTTAATATAATTATTTAGACACAAAAAAAGCACAAATTACAGAAAGGAACTTAGAAAGGTCGGTCTTAACGAGTTCATTCAGTTATAAGGTACCATATTTTAGGTAAGGGGGGTAATTTGATATTTTGTTGGGATTATCAGTTTACACCATAACATCAACTCACAACGAGATAGCAAGTGATATATAAAAGGTAATGTAGTAATTATTAACAAGGTGACAGCTTGATTGTCAAAAGGACAAGTGACACAAATCACCAGAAATGGGCTTCACACATTGTACCCATGTTTGGAATCGAACTCGAGCGAACGCTTTAACCACTTGGCTACCCACCGCCCTCATGTCGGAACAGCAACGTGCTTCATTGTCATATATATTTCAGAAAACAATTTCTCACCTTTTGTGACAATAGAGAGAGAGAGAGTTGGGTTTGTGGACATAGTGTTTTGTTATAATTACATTAACAGAAGAATGATGCTCTTATATTTCAATGACATATAGAAGTTATTCTACTGTACAGTTTACCTTCAGATTTGAAAACAAACCTTTAATATGCATCCTGTATGTAATTTAAGTCAGGCTGATGATTTGCCCCACCCCACCTGTCTCCCCACCCCATCCACCCTAGCAGAATTTGTGTTTGGAAATAACGTCATTCTATAACCATTCTGTATCCATAAGAATATCCGGCCCCTTTCACCATTACAATTTAGGGATCCCTCACACAACAGTAATTCTAAATGATTTACCGTTCGTTACCAGGAAGCTTTATCAGATTTTAGCCATGCAGGTGATATATGTACACTCAGGTCACCCAGAGACGTATTATCAGATAAGAGACACACGTGGCTGTGTTGCTTAACCACGAAACTATGGTATACTTTTTCACATTGAGAACATGGACATACTTACTCTTTTCACGAACACTCCGTGTCATCTCTTGATTTTCAGTGATCCATGCATACCTTTCACCGCTATTTTGCCTGTTGTACCCATTTAATCTGTGACTAAATATTCTGAATATATATTTAACTATTGTGTCAATATATAAGTCTGGCAAGACCGATGTTTGACGTACACTCAAACAAAGAACAAATTAGATTATGTGACTAAATAATTGAATGTTTTCTACATCATGGTACAAATCGACGAGTATATAGATATCCTGTTTGTATGTCTGGTTCACATGTGCCGAGATAACGTCCTCCCTACCTAATGTCATTTACGGTATGGAGGTCAGCCTGACCCGTCAGAATCAATACAGCCCAGTAGGATACTGAAGTACTGTCGAGGATATGTCACACATGCAGTGCACTGCTAAGAGTGTATCTAATGGATACATTGGTCCTACGTTATCGCATGTTACGTACTGACACTATAGAACTATAAGGTATAATACACTGTAAACCATTCGAAGTTTAAACATTATTTACAACTAAACACCCCAATTTTAGTTTTGAAATTTTAAAGAATTAAAATAAAATATTGAAGCATCAGATGACTACTATCAGATTGATAAATATGAAATACAGAATAGTCTTTTCTAAATTCTTAAAGGACAAATAGTTTTGGAATACTTGACTGTTTTACTATCAATTACAATGTTTTTCAATATCTCTTTCTCTTTAACGATCGACATATAAAATTCAGAATGTAACACCATAAGAAAGAGACATTGAACAATATTTGTGTTTGCTGTGAGCAATGGAAGTGGCAATGTAGACAAGTTGTGAATGTTCTGTTAATGACCTCTTTTGCTGAAAGTCGAAAAAGTCAAGTGTGAAGCCCATTTCACCAGTCTCCGGTATCTGCCGAAACACATGTATGTTGTGTGTTAATGACCTCTTTTCCTGAAAGTAAAAGTGCGCAGTGGTGCGCTGTGCCCTTTGTTCTGAAAGTTTATTACTTAAAAGTTGACCATTGAAACTCTCGTGAAAACGGATGGGAATGAACTGTCAACTGTTTCTATTAATTGGACGGTGTTGAGTGTATTTTCTCGTAATTGAAATTTTTGTCTCGTTTTTTACATTATTTTCTCGTTGCCTCGAATATTTTCTCGTTGCTTCAGGTTTCTTTCAATAATCTGAAATTTCGAGCATTTACTCGTTGCTTCGAGTATTTTCTCGTCCCTTCAATTGATTTCTCCTTGCTTCGATTAATCTCTCGTTGCTTCAGGTTTCTGTCAATAGCTTGAAATTTCGAGCATTTACTCGTTGCTTCGAGTCTTTTCTCGTCCCTTCAAGTGATTTCTCGTTTCTTCAATTAATTTGAATTAATTCGTTGCTTCAAGTTTCTTTCAAAAACTTAAAATTTCAAGTTTTTGAAGGATACTTGAAGTAACGAGAAAATACTAGAAGCAACGAGTGCGTTCGCTGAAAAACTATTTTATGCTACAGACGTGTCAGCATTAGGGTTTCACACGATCAATCCTGTACAATGGACGTTGACCTAGGACGTAAAGAACAAGCTCAATCGTCGTCTGAGCACAATGAATCACAGACCTTGAAACGTCAAACGTAATATGTTCGCTGCATGCTAACTTCTGCCAGTTCCTCGCATGCCAAAACAATAGCCCTTCCAACATAAAAAATAAACCTTTTTTTATAAAAAAGATATAAATCAGGACTGAAAACTAACACCTGCAATCATTCTGATATGTTTTGGTGATACTTTTCACAGATATTAACGTTCTTACAAAGGATGTTTGTTGTAAACATTTATAGTTTTAATATTTTGTACTAAAGCATATATTTCATTTTCCCCTATGTGTTATGAGCATAGTTGTGCAAACTGCAATATGGAAGACCATCGTTTCTTCTACTGTGATATATATGACAAACGATCTTGATTGTTTCAGTCCTGTTTCACTCAGTGCGATCTTTGGCCAGTGCAACTCTCCTGTTGTTTGTTATATCGCTGGTCCTTATACCAATATACAACTTCACCGGCTACTCCAGATGGCTACAGAAGGAACCTGTACTTGTCTCAATATTTCCTCTTGTCTCAGGTAAGCGATGCCAGTATTCATTGTCTCTTTAGGGAGGTATACAATGGTTAATTTTGTCGGTGTCATACTTCTGGACTGCCATATCTATGTAGTATTAAGGAGTATTGAAACTTGCCCCGCTCTAAATATGTTGCTGTTGAGTGATTTTGGTTACACGTAAACTAAAACAGTATTACATCTCTAGCATTTCGTGTCTGTTTGATGTGGGAGGAAAACCCGAAGTGTTTAGACGTTTACCACTTTGGTGCAAGACATGGGTATAGCAATGGTGCTGGCAAACCCATCACCATAATCAGAGATACATTATATTCGAATCAATGATCACAGGTTTCTGGCGCAGAGAGTTCCGGCACCGATTTAAGCACCATTTCCCCTTTTAACCCAGAAATATAAGGGCATTCAACGTCATTGTCGCGAGGTGTTTAGTCATGAGCGGATATAATCACAGTCATATGTTATGTATTTAGGTATAGCCGACATAGCCGACAGCTAGACTCTTAAAGAATAGGGCAGTTATACTATATGTTATACATATAGCGGGGACAAAGGGCACGTAAAGTCCAAAAGTATACATTGGTTACTATTTATATGTTTTCCTGTATATAACTACAGGGATGTATAAAAATATACAGTACAACCAGAAATTATTGAGAATTTAAAGATTGTAAATTTAAAAAAAAAATTCATTCATTACTCACGTATTAAATGTGAATATTAGCAGAACATAACTCCAGATTTAAAGACAGGTGAACAGTTAGTATTTTGTCAAGTCACCATGGGCAGCAATGCAGGCTTCAATGGAGCGGGGCATACTACTGATCAAAGAAGATAGCAAGTCGTGGTCCATGCTGTCCCAATATCGGACCACCTCTTCTTTCATTTCAGTAATATTTGTCAGATTTCTCTTATTAACACTTTCCTTCATAAGTCCCCAAACATTTTCTATTGGATTTAGGTCAGGGATATAGCTTGGCCAATCTAATAATGTCATATTTTGGGTCCGAAAAAAGCCTGTGAATGCTTTGAACGATGTTTCTATTTCCATAGAACACGTGAGCAGATGGAAGTAAATGTCCCTCGAGAATATCTGCGTACCGCTCACTGTTCATATTCCCTTCAAATACACAAAGGGGCGTTGCCCCTAACACAGATATGCCACCCCACACGTTACATTTCGGACTGTACTTTGGGCGCTGATACAAAGGTTTTTCAGGTTGTTTGGTGTATTATTTCAGTGTATTAGGAAACAGCCACACAGAACTTTCATCTGAGAAAATCACATTGTCCCAGTTAACATTTCTATGCTGTAAGCACCAGTTTAACCTTCGCTCCCTTTGTTCAGGTTTCATGATCGGTGATGGAATTCCTCGACTTTTCTGCCAACCCATTGCATGCAGCTCAGTTCTAATTGTCTCCTTACAGACAGCCACAGTTCCTCTATCAATCATATCCAGCCTTAAGATTTCTTAACTCCTTCGTTTGTTTTTAGAAACAAGAATACCCAGCGCCTCCTTTCATCGACAGTCAATTTTCTGGGCCTCCCTACGCCTCCCTGGTGCTTAATGCCATATCCATTTGCAATATTTTTCAAAACACGATAAACAGAGGACAAAGGGGTGCCGGTTCTACTTGACATCACTTTAGCTGATCTGATGTCCTTGTTATACTACTTAAAATCAACTTCCTCTTCTCTAAATCATCCATACTGAGGATCACTGAAAATGTCGTCTGCTAGCAAATAAACAAAGGGGGACAACTCTTCACAAACAAATGAAAAAGGATTAACGGAGTTGTCTCTCGTGAATGAAACCAAGCACTTGATAGCTGGTCAAGGTTGTTTATACTAGAAATCCAATTAAACATATTTCTAAAACTCTCAATAATTTCTGGTCATACTATATTTCCGATTAACACTTGAGAATGTGTTTGCTGATTTGGGGTGGTGAGGCCCTCTACGCCCTGGGTTTGATTTACAACATGAATATAACGTGTAAGTCCATTGCTGGTGATGTTCATGGAATAGTGCTAAAGGTGACATGAAATAATGTCCAGTGGATTGAATAGCTTAGTTCTTGTTGTTTCCGACCCCAAGTCCATACACTGGTGCACTTTGTTGTCTGAATGGTTGCTTAAAGTTGCTTCCATAAGTATCCATTATACTTATCATACTATTGACATCAGGCACCATAGGTAGCCCAGAAATATCAGAATTTGGGTTTGGAAAGCAAGTTGGTCGCGGTATTTTATTAACTGTAATCAATGTAAATTTAGCACTTTTCCAACTGTACTCGATGATTGCTCGATAAATATCAACCTTAGAAGTAAGGACACAAACAAGTAACATCGTAGTCAAAAAGAAGTAACATCGTACTCACAACAGATTAACATCGTGCTCACAAACAAGTGACATCGCAACTCACAAAAGTAACATCGTACTCACAAACAAATAGCACAGTACTCTCGATCATCTATTTGAAGGGAATGATAAGACAAACAAGTGAAAGCAATATAGTAACATCGTCTCACAAGCACTTAACACTGTACTCAGAAACAAGTAACTTCGCACTCACAAAAGTAACATCGTACACACTCGAAGATCTATACTATGCGTCAGTGATACAGGTTCTAATGATATACAGCACATGTACAGAAAGGTTTCTCAGAAAAAACAAAACTAAGAGTGTCATCATAATGCTTAATGTGTTGACATCGTGCTAACAAACAAGTGACACCGTACTCACACACAAGAAACATCATGCTCGCAAACAAGTAACCTCGTACCCACTCGAAGATCTATTTGTAGGGATTAAGAAGACAAACAAGCGAAAAACAATAATAAAGTGGGATTCGTGTATTTTATGACGATTCGATAACTTTACCCTATGCGAGTCAAACGTAAGTCAAGTTTCACATTGGACATCATACCATAAAGATTAGTATCCATGCATGTTTGTTCAACAGACACTGTCAACAGCCACCGAGATACGTTTAAACAACAGAAAGAAACATAAGGATATATTAAAATACACGTAACCAACACAGTTGTTGAAATTGAATGAAGTCGTATAAAATCGTAAGAGACCTGCACGAGGAAGTAGTTCAGAAGCGTGTATGACAGGTGGGCGTTCAACGTTGCAGCGACCTGCTCAAACATTGAAGTTACATTACTTCAAGTCAACGTTAGTGCTGGAAGTCAAGCGGCGGTGACGTAGATGTTTGAAGTTTACCAATTTGGCAAAAGAGATCATAAAGACTGATATCGACTCGGCAAATTCTGACTTCTAAAAAATGCACTTAAAAAAAGTTCTCTCAACCAGTTGTGTCTTCAATTAGCTTGAACATGGCAACCGCACTTCATGTTATGTGTATTTGCACTTCGTCTACATTGTCTAAATACTTACATGTACGCTATTGTCTGTTGCCTCTATGCAAAACAAGGTTTAAATTCTACTGACCATTTACTTGGAAACGATAGATGGATGCTGTCGAAACATATGCCAAAAATGTGTACGAATCTGTATAATGCATTTCAGAGTAGACATAACTGGTGGGTTATACTGCCACACGTTGAATGCACACACTGAAAAAGAGGAAGCTGAAATTGGAATAAATCAGAATGGGATTCTGCTCCAATCAGCTGTCATCCTGCATGAGACGTCTATAGTGGTTCCTACTGACAAGTCCTCAGACAACATAACCAGTATATGTAAACATCACTACATTAATTGTTTAATCAAAGAGCTTGGTGTACGTGATATACCAAATAATCATACATTTAAGGCTAATATGTTAAATGAGGAAGAAATCTGCCCAAACCATTCATCGGTACTATTTACTTTTGGCTTGACTCAAAAAGCTATGTAAAACTTTCAGACAAGATGCAGTCATCGCTGTGGGCACCAATTGTCCTGCCCACCTTGCAAATCAATGTCTTTATGCATATGAAGTAGAATTTCTGTCGGGTTGGCAAAATGAAACGAGGTAATGTGTCCAAGTTAACATAAGCTTCACGAAAATCAACGATTTAATGCCGTTCAAAAAGCATTAAATGGCCAGTTTCCTTCTATTGATTGACGCACCTGAACCTGAAATACAGGACCAGCACGTGCGTCCAGATTTACATCTATGCATAAAGATTCCGACTGACCCAAAGCTCTTCACGAGACTGTACGACAGAAGGGGTGAATTCAACTTGCCAGCGGTGTACTATACCTTTATGTCGAGCAATATCCCAACAGCTCCCGGTATACATGCCACAGCTGAGGTAGCACCAAGCTTGCACCAGGCTCGCATCATACGATTCTTTCTCAGAAGTTGTTTGATCAAGGTAACAACATTCAAGGCCTTAGTAAAGTTTTCACAAGATATGTGGAAGACATATCATGCATCGGTGACAAGACAGATGTCCAATGCAAGTGCCTATTTTGACTTGTACCATGTGTTTCCGAAGTAAGTTTGAGGATCCGCACCATATACTATTATGAAATGGGTGTTGATTTATGTACGCAATACTCCGGATCGCCTTCCAGACAGGCCGATCCTCTCTGGCTTCTGGTGGAAATGATGATGAATATCAAAGGGGTTAAGTCTATTACATAGAGTAATGGGAAGTTCGGACTTTTAATTCATTTGAAATTCTCGTGTCTATTTGATGACTATAAAACACTCAGTAACAGAACACGTACCCAATAAACCTATGTAAGAGTTGGCTTGTGAGGATCGGATGGGTACTGTATGCGAGCCTATGTACCCCAAGGGGTAATAATGAATGTCATATTCAACATTCAACGCCATCAAATGGACGGATATAGTCATGTTTGACCAAAATCGGCCTCGCTCACTAGCGCATCACAAACTACCCAGGCGCTTGAAAATGCATTTGAAGGGTACATTACCGTTGACCGAGGTAATAAATTAATAATATAGAATAGGAATTAGGGTGTCTATTTGGCGTTTTCTTCTTGTTCTTAATATCATTAATATTTATTGTTGCTGTTTGTTCTTATATTTATTATTATTATTTCAGGATTGGTTGGGGCAACAGCATGTATTACATACATTTTCTGTCAAGAAATCAAGTCCCTCTACTGGGGTGTGGGTGTAGGATGTGCCGGAAGTGCCATGGCTCTCTATGGAGGGATGTTCATGCTGGCTGGACTCCGGAATGACAATCAGTGTCGACGAACAAGAAGAACAAGGCGGAGAAGAAATAACTCAACCGACAATTTTTCTGCAGTACACCAGTGTAGTGCAATGGACGGGAACAGCGTGGTAGCGCCCTTTACCTATTTGCGACCTGCTGGGTCTCAGACTAGTGTGCTGGTGTCTCGCCCGGACCCGCCAGCTCCCTACTCCCTCCCCTACCACCACCCGGACCAAGGACCATCTGTGCACCCCTCAGCCCCACCATACATCGATCCTGTGCCCCAAACTTCGCTCTTTGCTGACCAACATTAATGTCTATAGCTGTATATGTCATGCAGGCAGAATAACTTAATATCAGTGTAGTGAGGGAGTGATTTTAGATTTACGCCGCTTTTAGCAATATTCCAGCAATATCACGGCGGGGAAAACCAGAAATGGGCATAACAGATTGTACCCATGTGGGCAATCGAACCCTAGTGGTTGTAGCGTTCGCTCTTTACGCCAAAGACCCGGGTTCGATTCCCCACACAGTTGGGTACAATGTGTGAAACCAATTTCTGGTCACCTCCGCCGTAATATTGCTGGAATAGTGCTAAAAGCGTCGTATTGCTGGAATACTAAACTAACTCACTCGTGCGGTAGCGCACCTGTCAGAAACCATGAACGTCTTCGGAGACCACAACGTGCCGTACCTTGGTTAATTCATGTGCTGGAACACTTATCAGAACAGTGTTACGTCATGTGAGACCACACCTTACCGTTACCTTGGTGACATCCTGTGGCACAACTGTCAGAAACCGGGAAACGTCATGTCAGTTTTCACCTTACCGTACCTTGGTCACTTTAAATGTTGACAGTAACCAGGTTATCATGTCATGGCACCAATTTCAGGTACTGGGTAACTTGATCACAGACTTAAGAAACCCTTTACCGTCGTGTGATGAAACATGTTTCATTTACTGGATATCTTAATGCGTTGAAACACCTTTCTTTTAACGGGGTACCTTAATGCAATGAAACACCTTCCTTTTAACGGGGTACCTTAAGGACCGTTCATAATTTATGGCTATGGAATGTGTGAGTGATGATGATGATTTAAAGTGGGGACCATTTTGTACTGGGGAGGTAAGGTGGTAATCAATTTTTGTGCACATGTGCTAGTGGGGAGGTCAGCAATTTTGTGGTAGTGGGGGTGTCACTTTCTTTGTACATAGCTTTTAGACTTTTAGGGGCTCATTCACATTGTACATGCTCATCCATAAAAATTCATTGATAGAAATAGAAAGATATTATGTTATATTAAACAGAAACTAATGTCGAATGTTACATATAAAGATGCTGATAAAGATTGGAGTCCTTGGTGGTTAGAATGTATCGTCTATGTAACCAAGCACAACGTATACACATAGCTCATCATCTCCACCAGGTACGAGGTAGTAATCATAAAGACACTGGATGGATGTATGTATGTATGTATGTATGTATGTATGTATGTATGTATGTATGTATGTATGTATGTATGTATGTATGTATGTATGTATGTATGTATGTATGTATGTATGTATGTATGTATGTATGTATGTATGTATGTATGTATGTATGTATGTATGTATGTATGTATGTATGTATGTATGTATGTATGTATGTATGTATGTATGTATGTATGTATGTATGTATGTATGTATGTATGTATGTATGTATGTATGTATGTATGTATGTATGTATGTATGTATGTATGTATGTATGTATGTATGTATGTATGTGCATTTCAAAAAGTGAAATGAGAACTATTTCTTACAGTGGCCTCTTTAAAGCCTGGATTGAGCGTTTGTATCATCAGATATGCCTTGGACATATTGTACCTTGGATTTAGGTCGGGTTTCTGAATGGCAAGTACTTAGAGGTTCTATAGACGATATGTGAAGAATTATATTTTGTATATCAATTTTACTTTAATCTGTTGGTCTGTGGTCTGTTTTCACATAGATTGAGCGTTTACATCATCAGATATACCTTGAACATATTCTACCTTGGTTAGATTCCTAACAAGGCTTTTTAGGCGATATGTGACGAATTGTATGCTGTATATCAATTTTACTTACATAGTTATATCACATGACTTGTATTGTGAATACAAGGGAGTTTGAACTTGTCTGGTGTTTTTGTTGTTGTCCTCAGATGTCATTTATGAAGTCTGTTATGAAAATAATTCACAGTCTTTCTACAATGAAAATTGCAATGCCATCAGTCAGGTTGCTTTTCCCACATCCGGTCTTCACGGTGTTGTAAGTCACAAATCACCGAGTCTACATCCTTACCAATAATATGACGCCTTCATCTCACGTACATCCACACTCTCCTGGCGATATAGTGATTGAGATGACATCCCCTCTTGGCACAACACAGGTGACACTCATTTCCTTTGGGGTTTAAGCAGTGAAAGCCCACTGTCCGCCGCAACATGCATATAAATGTCACCGAAACATATTTACTGAACAAGCCAGATCGTTTTGACTCTCAACATCTGATCGTTTTGGCTCTCAGCGTCAGATAATTTTGACTCTCAACATCTGATCATTTAACTCTCAGCATCAGAACGTTTTGACTCTCAACATCTGATCGTTTTGACTCTCAGCGTTAGATCGGTTTGACTCTCAGCGTCAGAATATTCGAGATCATTTAAGAAGTAAACCTCATGTCAGATCAAAATATACCAATGATTGATATATGAGCAATTACAAAATCTCATGTTACATTTTAATCAATGACTTAGGAACTGTGGGGTTGCCTAGTAGTCAAAGCGTTCGATCGTCACTCCGAAGACTCGGGTTCGATTCCCTACATGGGTACATTTCTGGTGTCCCCCGCCGTGGTATTGCTGGGCTATTGCTAAAAGCATCGTAAAAAGTAAATTCACTCGCTCATTCACTAAATAGTGACTTAAGATTGTAACGTGCATTCCCAAAGTAACGCATATATCCCTTAACGTCATGGGAAGAGGATAACCATCCACTGAATCACGTAACGTCATCGTATCAAAGTTCAACAAAGACAGAGCCATAAGGCGGAGGCTAATTGTAGTTAAACAGTGTATCAATGATACAATGCGCCATTCAAATTGCACAATTCATGACTGAATTATTGCCAACATATGAATCAGTTAGATTATTTTAATCGTTTTTGTGTTTGTGTGATTACGAACACCAATGAAATACCAATGACGATATCAACACATGTTGAATGACGATCAATTGTATTTCCAATGTTCTTTCATGAAACTAGTAAAGGGGAAGAATTTTGTCCCATTAATTAATGTGTCATAGTCTGATTTAGGACAGTCATTGATCAAATATTTCCAAAGGCTAAAAAGTATGTAATCAAAACATGTGAGACTTAATTGTAATTATTTATATGACGCTAATCTGCATTCTAAATCCTTATCATCACCACACTGTAATTGACTTGTTAGCCAACCCGTACCACGCTATGACTTTCATTAATGAATGTATATGACATTTATAGCCTTAATTGGTCATCTTCTTTGGCCTTGTCTACCATAGCATCAACTGGTCCAAGAAAGTGCTATTGTTTCTTTATCATGTCCATTGGTAACTCTTCGTCTCTCCATTGTTGTCTTTAACTATTTATTATATACCCATGTAAACTTCGGATAGTTATACAGGGGTGCAATACGGATGATGTGGTTAAATTCCGTATTGTAACCCAGATTCCGTATTGAACCCCTGCCGGTTCTACTTTCTCCGAGCTCGGATCGATTTTAAAAGTCGAATAGCTTGTTCGTTCCTTCATACAAGTTTGTATGTATGAAAATATGAATCAGTTTCGTTAAAATGGTGCCAATGGTGCCTATGGTAAGTTGTGAAAGTGGGACTTGATTCATGACGTCATGCGGAGGCTTGTATGATCTAGGTCAGTCGGGTGATCCGCCCACGCGCGGAGTGATACTTAATGTCAAACTAACCTGAATGCCGAAGTATCGAAAGGCGTGAAAATAAGTATCGCTACGATATAATTTGTTTTGTATTGAACGAGAAGATGTCATGAGAGAAGATGTTTCTCTGCTCCCATGACATCTCGTTGCTCCCATGACATCTCGTCCAATACAAAACATCCAAATGCACTAGTATGACGTTCTATGTATACATATGTTCATATCTATACTGCAACCACGGTATTCCCACTGCCTGTGCAGGGACGTCCGCGAGCAGGATAATGTCGCTCGTAGGAAACGCCCAGGGGTTGAGCCGGAACCCCGCTCACGTCATTTATGTTTGAGCCTGTAACCCGACTACATTGCTGTCTTGTGTATTTGTTTATATCATGTATTGTGTAACGAACTAAAGAAGTTTGCACTCAACCTATCACTTCGTCAACATACTGTTCGTCTGAATTATACGCTGGTTCCCTAGGCGACACATATCTAAGCGTTGAAAAATGCATTGGTTTTAGGTTGTCTATTCAGCGGTGAATTGAACCCATCTAGGGCCAAGCTTGCGAGTGTTATTACAGTATGGAGTGAAATATCAATACTTATATAATACATTCAAGTCAAAGGCAAAGATATTTATTGTACTTAAGGCCTCCGGCCCATATACAAGTAATACAAGTATATATACAACACATGTTACAGACATTTCACAAAGAAATTACAGTTCAGATAAGATATTGCTTCTAAGGAAAACAGCATGTTTTACATAAAGCGCAAAATTACGTATTACATTTTCATTTTTGGAGGATAGAATGGAAGCAAAGGCAGATGAAGGATATTTTAACAGGTAATTATTTGGGATATATTTTTTTCTTAAATCAGCATAATGTGGGCATACAAAAGCGAAGTGAATTTCATCTTCTATAGCTGAGTTACATAATGGACATATCCTTAAACGTCTCTCTATTGAAAATCGTCTGCCCTTATTTACTGATAAGTCAAACAAGCCCAATCGAAAATTGACAAGTGTGGGTCTGATTTTTTTAGTTGTCAATACAGATAGATATAGTTCTGGTTGAATTAAGCTCTTATTTGATCTATACAACTGGTATCTTGAACTATTGTCTGGACAGGAATAGACACATATCTAAGCGTTGAAAAATGCATTGGTTTTAGGTTGTCTATTCAGCGGTGAATTGAACCCATCTAGGGCCAAGCTTGCGAGCGTTATTACAGTATGGAGTGAAATATCAATACCTATATAATACATTCATGTAAGCAGACACACCAGCTGTTGTGGATCATGTACACCTACACTATTATTTTGACCATTTTCCATGAAGAATGAGACAGTTTTAGCGATGCCACACTGGGAAGACAAGTGCCGCACATACCGTCTAGGTGTAGTGTGCACCAACCTTGGGTTTCTCGGATTCCCACCTGGAGCCACGTGTTTGTGTATGTTGATATAGACACTGTACAATATGATGAAGAATGGAGGGCGTCGGCACTCGTGTGAAGGGTT